TTTCGGAATCGATTATCTCATCAACCACAGNTCCNAAACAGAATCGGANAACTGTTCTNAAAACTAGACAGAGAGATCTACACAACGGTATGTAGATCGTCCTCTGCGTCCGTAAGATTCAATGGGAAAACAGCCCGCAATCTCGCTGGTCGGAACTGGAAAAACAGAGATTTCAGATACAACACCCTGAAATCAAAAGAACACAGAGAACGGAGATTACCTCCGAAATAGGATCAGAACCCAGATATAGAAACTAAACAGCGAGGTCTTTCCAACGTCATATGGATCGTCTCTTGATTCTTTCTGGTTCGACGGAAATCCTCCCTCGAAACGGACTGATCGCAGACACGAAATTGCAGAAACGTCTCTCGGGAAAAGAACGATAACTCTCAGAATTCACATCCGATTTACAAACCGTTTCCTCCTAAATCAAGATTAGAGAGTGGAGAACTTACCCTTAAAGTTTCACTCTGATCCGATTCCATCTTCCCAGCCGATCGTCTCTTCCAAAAACCCGAGCAGAATTGATTTTCTCTCAAGGAAATCACTTCTCTCACAATCCTCACATAAACACTCTCTTTCCCCTCTCAACCTCTTCTGATTTCGGCCAAAAAAAAAGAGAAAACGCGTTCCCCACGCTTTTATAACGAAACCCTAGGGTTTCCTAAACCGTTCTCCACACCGGCAAATCAGAAGCCGAAACCGTCGGTCTGATTTTACTCCGTGTCGATCGACACACATGCCCAAAAAAATCCCCTTTTTGGTTCACGGACGTTACAGTTTTTGTATTTAAAAATAAATAAATAAAAATGCTTAAGTGAACCCAAAATTTATGTAGTTTTGTTTGGCTAAACGTTCTCGAGGTAAGTGATTGAATTTCCTCTTTATTCGTCTTAGGATCTTTGATTTCATTGAACCCATACATCACTTTGAATCGGCTAGATTTGTCTTCCTTTGTTTGATTTAGCAAGGCTAGTGGTATAGAACTTCTTTCAATTTAGAGGTTCCAAATTTGGTGTCTGATGATAGCATCTCCGGCTACTTTAGAGATTTTGATTCATAATATGGGGTTTGTTCTGCATCTCCATCAAAGGAAGTTCTGGTGGCAAATACCGAAAAATGTAAACAAAGCAAAGTATGTTGTTACTATCGATGACGTCCCAGTATTGTAATGTCTTGATCCTTTACACTTTATTTTAATATCCCTAGTTTTTGTTGATTTGAGACTTTGAAACCCTATATTTATATCTAATCTTCTTTTTGGTCTAGTACAAATTTGAAGTTGTATGTTGTTGTGTTGTTATAGGTTCTTCTTAGAGGAACATTAAGCTGTGAAGCATGCCGGCTCTTCCTGGTGTGCCACACAATCACACAAAGGCATATGTATTGTCCAGTGGAAGGAAGAAGAGTCGTGGATTAAAGGTTTAAGAAAGGTGTCACCGCCCATTGAACTTAATTAAGGAGTTTTGTTGCTTTGTGGTCTTTGTTCTGATTGAAATTTTGGTCAGAGAATACTTGTGTTTCTTTACTTGTTTAAGGCATGATTATAAGTTTGTTTCTACTAAATTCAATGTGTGCATATTAACATTGAGCTTTAAGATTTGTAAATTAGTATTCAGTTTTTAATACTTTATTTTTCGTTTCTATGAATGTTATACTTTCATATAATTTGTTTCAATATTATATTTGACAAAATATTAATTGCTTTTTTAGTATATGAAAATAAAATACATAAATTAAAAATATTTTATATCCCTATTATAGCGTTATCAAGGTCCTAAAAACAATAGATCACAACATAAATTTAGAGCTATAACTACGTTTTATACAACAACAAAAAACTGCTACAACTAACTATATTACAGCATTTAACACAGCT